CCCCCCCGCGAACAAAAGCAATACTTCAAGGGCAGTGATTTTTCAGAGTAAGAGTTAAATTTTCTATCGGTTTAGTATTGTAAATTCTATTCAGAATTGGTAATACCAAAGGAGCCATCCTCTCGAGGACAAAATCTAACAGGTCAGAATGTTATACAAATTCCGTGGAAAGCTCAGTTCTAGATGTATGAAACGTTGGTAGAAAAAAACAAGCAACACATGAATTTTATTAAAAGTTGCACACCAACAACCGGCTGTGACTGCCTACTACGGCTGGCTCCTTGGAAAGGATAAGCCGGCTCTATGAATGTCTCTGACTGCCACCGTAGTAAATATGATCATGAAGTTACTTGGGAGTTTGGTACGAGAAACGTCCCAGCGTTTCGATTTTGAGGGCGCATCTCTAGCCTTTGCACAACCAAGTGCAAACAAAAAGGCAGCAGGACGTCATCCGTCGCCTTGGAAGTGACGGAGTCAATGACTTCAGTTTTAAAAGGCCAGTCACATCGACCTTTGTCACGATACCGTCACTGGGCTTATGCGGTTTTTAGACAGGATCCAGGTGATCAGCCTGAAAACCCGCCACACCCTGATAGTGCCGCCGCTGATTGTTCGGGACTTCTTATTTGTTGCGGTATGCCACAACTTATTCACAGATAACCTTCTCCGGTAAAGGTATCCCCCTATCCCCAACCCCGGTAGCATTCAGCTCTGCTGTGACTGCCGCGAGAAAGACAACGACAAAGGCTTCTCGTAATTGGCATGAAGTCAGACTGAAAGTAAAAAATATCAAACACAACCCTGAACATTACGACATGATTCGAATTTTGGTTATTATCGGATCGTGGAGCGTCGAAAAATTCGTTCTTTCGGTATGTTATTCTTGGCACCTCAGTTTCGCCAAGGAACTAAGAACGTTCGTTTCACAAAGGAATCATTACAGTGCCTGGTTTCGTACGCACATTAGGCCTGCTCCTCATTGACGGAATCTGCGCTGTGTCAATATTAATTTAAAAGTAACTGAGTTAAGAATCATCAAGCTTATTTTCTCATTTAGAAGGTAAGATGTCTGACAAATGGAGTTACGATGAACAGAATGGAAGCAACAGCAGCAGCAACACCACAAAGTTAAGCAAAGCAAGTCGACCAATCGCAAATTCATGGTACGTGAGAAGCCAGAACAGTGCACAAGGTGGATATATATATATATATATATATATATATATATCATCGGCGTTTTCAACTCCTACGTGAACACTGGCTTCGTCCTGAACCCATTTGTTCTACTCTGAACCGCTCCGGTTTACAGAAAACCTTCTTTGCATTTTTTCACAGTTGCGACGACGGATTTCCTCTTTACTGGATTGAGGCGCTTGAATTCTTCGCACGTGTCTCGAAAACTCAAACCCGACTCATTGAGCCAAGCCAAACGCACTTTTTCACCGTCCTTAAGTTGACCTTGCAAAGACTAACAGCTGCGTCTTTTTTACGATCGGCGAACGGTCAAAACAAAAACGCGACGGCTTCCGCACCAGATGCACAGACGATTCGGGAGTGGGTGTGAATGTACCTGTGAGTTACGATCACGGTTTGCTACCTGAGTTTCATCGGATAAAAGTGCAAATGAAACGCATGTGAAATTTCTACTCAGCAATGTTTCCAGCTTAGTGAATCGACTGGTCTATATGTCACACACGTCTGAGTTCAGAATGTACAAAATAAATCTTTATCCTGATAGAATGTCCTATGACTTGCTTTTCGGCGGAAAATTACCAGGTTGCCTATGCCAAGGGAAGTGAATTTTTTCTAGCGAATTTACCAACCGGATCTTTTGACAAACCAAGGCCTGACCTGCAAAGCAGCGTGGCGGAGTGCGAAAACCGCAATCCGTTGCAGGTCCATATTCGGTTAATCGGATCATACGCATTGTGAACGGGGTAAAACGTCCAAGTTGTTCAATACACTTCAGTACCCAGTCAAGATGGTGACCACTACCTCAGTCAGGAAAGTGTGGGTGAAATGGTGATACGAATTAGCAGAAAATAAAGTGACTGATTGAGACACGAAGCATACACTGCATAACTCCTTCTTTAAACAGAACAGCTTCTTAAACAGTTAATAATCCATGGTGTTCCGGATCATTTCGAAAAATTTGGGCGTTGTGCTCAGCTTCTTATAAACCAAAAGTTCGTAATTAATAGTATCGTTTCATCATGATTATCTGAGGCAAAACAATTGAGGAATTTTCCGGATCTCAGTATGGAAAGGGAGTAGCGTGCACTCGCTCTCCGAAATCTTTACACTCTATTTGTGCTTCATCTTTTGGTCTTGAACTGTGATTTGAAACAGGCTGCTATACAAACAAAAAGATACTTGTAATCCAGGTTACATAAATGGTAAATGTTTTGCAGTTAAAACGTTATCATATGAGCGACACTACTGGTACACTATTCATCAATCTAGAAATGAACCAGTTACACTATTCTATTCCTTGACCATCCGCATATCAGTTAGATTAAAATCTTGGCATATATTCGACCAAGTTAATTCGGATCTAAACGTAGACCGAAACTACATGCCACGAACTCAACCGACTTTTTCCAAGAATTGCAGGTTTGATCACTTTACGATGAGCGACGTTATGAACCGTATATGAGCAGGTTAACACTTAACACGTATCCGAAACTAAACACTTCGTTTTTGGTGCAGGTTATATTTTACCACAACGAATACGGGATGACATTTATTAATAGTCTGCAAAGTTAGTCACCAAAAGACTATGATGTGATATATATATATATATATATATATATATATATATATATATACAT